ACTCCCACACACTCGTGAGGACACGTGGATCGATCTGGGATCAAGAGTGGTCTCTGCTACCTGGCCCACGCGCCGGCCGCGCGTGGGTGTGCCTAACAATTTCCGGCGACCGGAAAATCTCTAAACCGCCGGCCCAAACTCCTAGTCTAGGTAAAACACCAAATTTGGAACCACTTTTGTTCTTGGACTAAGGCCAAAAAGTGACCGGAAGTGACTGATTCCGGCATCCTAAGCTCGGCAGAAACTTAACTCAAAAATTAACCTCTTAAACCTGAAAATCTCTCCAATCCTACCCAACCATCAGCTAGAGCATGAAAACCAGTCGAAAAACCATACCTAATCCGTCCGATTTGGTGGCCGGAGGAGGGAGTTTGAGGGATTTGCAAATCGGAGAAAATCTGCCGCGATTTTCTTATTTTTCTGGCAGCTTCGTGGCAGCTGGACGGCGGAGCAGGCTGGCTGGGTTGCGGAGGTGGCGGCGGTGCTTCCTTGGCTGGTCCGGTGAGGTGTGGTGGCGGCTGGAGGTGGCTGCAAATTGGGGAGGGTGGCGGCTGAACAATCGAGAGGGAGAGAGAGAAGAGATCAAAAAGTCAACTTAAAACCTAATAAATTATTCCGAGGGTAGTTTAGTCTTTTCCTTCATTAAATTAATAGTTAAATAATAATTAAGGTTTGGGTTGTTACAATCTACCCCCCTTATGAAAATTTCGTCCTCGAAATTTACGTACCTGTCACTCGAAGAGGTAAGTATACTGAGCCAGCACCTGTTCTTCAGGTCCCCAAGTGGCCTCTTCCACATCGTGACTCCTCCACAAGACCTTCACTAGTGGAATCTCTCTAGATCGAAGCAGTTGCATCTTCCGATCCGTAATCTGAACAGGCTGCTCCACATAACTTAAATCATCCTTCCACTTTTTGGGTTGTTCTTCCAAGACATGGGATGGGTCTGAAATATACTTTCGGAGCATGGATACGTGAAATACGTCATGTAGACGGGAAAGATCTGCTGGAAGTCCAGTCTGTAAGCTACTGGGCCCACACGCTAAACATTCTCATATAGCCCAACATAGTGATGGCTTAGTTTTCCTCGTTTCCCAAATCTCACTATGCCTTTCCAAGGCGACAATTTCAAAAAAATACCCAGTCACCAACCTCAAACTGAAGATCTTTCCTCCTGTTATTTGCATGACTCTTTTGTCTTTCTTGGGCCACCTTGAGCATTTCTCTAATTGTTTCTACATGTTTCATTGTCCTTTCAACATCCCCAGATACCCGTAACTTGTGCTCGCCCACTTCATCCCAATACAAAGGCGTTCTACAATGTTTCCCGTACAAGGCATCAAATGGTGACATTCCTATACTCTCCTGAAAACTGTTATTATAGACAAACTCCATGAGTGGCAATTTCTCATCCCAGTTACCCCGAAACTGCAATGCACATGCTCTCAACATATTTTCTAAAGTCTGAATCATCCTTTCAGACTGACCATCTGTCTGGGGGCGGAACGCAGTTCCGAACTGCAACTGGGTCTCAAATGCCTCCTGTAACTTCATCCAAAAACGGGACGTGAACCGAGGACCTCTATCGGAAATAATGGATACTGATGCTCCATGGAGTCTCACTATCTCATCAATAAAAATCTTGGCCAACTTATTCAAGGTATAGTTTGCTCTCATCGGCAGAAAGTGAGCTGACTTAGTGAGTCGATCCACAATTACTCATATTCCATCATCCTTGTCCTTTGTCCGAGGAAGTTTGAACACAAAATTCATAGTAATGTGCTCCCATTTCCACTCGGGAATCGAAAGTGGTTGCAACAATCCGAATGGTTTCTGCCACTCTGCCTTGACTGGCCGACAAATTAAACACCTACCGACGTACTCTGCAATCTGTTTCTTCCAGAAAGGCCACCAATAATGCTCTCAGAGTACGATACATCTTGGTGTGGCCAAGGTACATGGCAAAGGCCGAGCAATGGGCCTCCTCAAGAATTTCCCTTTTTAAGGTCTCATCCTCAGGAACATACAATCTTGTTCCTACCATCAAAGTCCTATCATTCTTTACTGAGTAATATGTCCTAGTGCCATTCTCAACCTCTAATCTCAGTATACGAACTAGTGGATCTTGAGACTGAGCTTTACTTAATCGCTCCACTAGCACTGGTTTCACATTGAGAGTAGCTAACAGTGCTCCTTGATCATCCATACCTAGCCCAACTCTCAATTTCCTCCTTTCCACCAACTATGGCAGACACCTCCCTCGAAAATGAGGTACCGATCCCGAGAACTTCCTGCTGAGGATATCAGCTACCATATTTACTCTCCCTGGGTGATGCTCGATAATTCCCTCATAGTCTTTCATAACTCTAGCCATCTCCTTTGCCTCAAGTTCAATTCCCTCTGGGTGAACAGATACTTCAACTCTTAAGATCCTTAAATGTCTAGCACATTTCCCCATAAAGATAGTGTCGTCAAAACTTCAGAGCAAACACTACTGCGGCAAGATCCAAATCATGAGTAGGATAGTTCAACTCATACTTCTTAAGTTGTCTAGAAGCATAAGCAATTACCCTACCATGCTGCATCAGCACACAACCTACTCCTTGTCAGGATGCGTTACTGTATTTTACGAAGTTTCCTGTCTCGTCCAGAAGTGTTAATACCGGAGCGGTGGTCAACCTGTTCTCGAGTTCGTTAAAACTCTCTTCACACTCATCTGACCATTCCAATTGATGCATTTTCTTGTCAAACGAGTGAGAGTTGTTGCTATAATAGAGAAACCCTCCACAAAGCGACGATAGTAACCTGTTAACCCCAGGAAACTCCGTATCTCAGTAACATTGGTTGGTCGTGGCCAATACACTACTGCCTCAACTTTATGGAGATCCACAAAAACACCCTCTGCAGAAAACACGTGCCCCAAGAAGCTCACTCTGTCCAACCAAAACTGACACTTGCTGAACTTGGGCAACATCATAATATGGTGGGAGGAGTCATTTGGTTGAGTTTGAGTGAAATCCAATCTCTAGAACTACCCAAAACAAAAACCACTCCAATTAGGAACGAACTGCCTTCGGACTTGAGTTGTCCAATTTCTTACACCTATTGATTTCGGATCGAGCCCAAAACTTGTGCAACATGATAATATGGTCTGAGGAGTCATTTGGTTAGTTTTGAGTGAAATCTGATCTCCAGAACTATGGAAGACACCGAGCACTCCGATTAGGAACGAACTGCCTTTGAACTTGAATTGTCCAATTTCTTACACCTATTGATTTCGGATCGAGCCCAAAACTTGGGCAACATCATAATATGGTGGGAGGAGTTATTTGGTTTGTTTTGAAGGAAATCCGATCTTTAGAACTATAGAATACACCAACCACTCCGATTAGGAACGAACTGCCTTTGAACATAAATTGCCCAGTTTCTTACACCTATTGATTTCAGATCGAGCCCAAAAGTTGGACAACAACACAATATGGTGGGAGGTGTCATTTGGTTAAGTTCGAGTGAAATCCGATCCCTAGAACTACCCAAAACACCAACCACTCCAATTGGGAACGAACTGCTTTTGAACTTGAATTGTCCAATTCCTTACACCTATTGATTTTGGATCGAGCCCAAAACTTGGGCAACATCATGATATGGTGGGAGGAGTCATTTGGTTAGTTTTGAGTGAAATCCGAACTCTAGAACTATGGAATACACCAACCACTCCGATATGAAACGAACTGCCTTTGAACATGAATTGTCCAATTTCTTACACCTATTGATTTCGGATCGAGCCCAAAACTTGGGCAACATCATAATACGGTGGGAGGAGTCATTTGATTTGTTTTGAGTGAAATCCGATCTCTGGAACTATAGAATACACCAACCAATCCGATTAGGAACGAACTGCCTTTGAACATAAATTGTCCAATTTCTTACACCTATTGATTTCGGATCGAGCACAAAACTTGGGCAACATCATAATATGGTGGGAGGTGTCATTTGGTTAAGTTTGAGTGAAATCTGATCTCTAGAACTATCCAAAACACCAACCACTCCAATTAGGAACGAACTGCCTTTGAACTTAAATTGTCCAATTTCTTACACCTATTGATTTCAGATCGAGCCCAAAACTTGAGCAACAACATAATATGGTGGGACGTGTCATTTGGTTAAGTTTGAGTGAAATCTGATCTCTAGAACTACCCAAAACACGAACCACTCCAATTAGGAACGAACTGCCTTTGAACTTGAATTGTCCAATTTCTTACACGTATTGATTTCAGATCGAGCCCAAAACTAGGGCAACATCATAATATGGTTGGAGCAGTCATTTGGTTAACTTTGAGTGCAATCCGACCTCTAGAACTACCCAAAACACCAACCACTCCAATTAGGAACGAACTGTCTTTGAACTTGAATTGTCCAATTTCTTACACCTATTGACTTCGGATCGAGCCCAGAACTTGGGCAACATCATAATATGGTGGGAGGATGTTGAGTAGATTTCAGTTGCACCAAAATGGATTAAGCTGCATCCTCAACTTGTGATACTCGCAAGTGCACGAGCCGTTCGGTAGTATAGCGTATGTAAGTGCGAGGTCGATCCCACGAGGATTGGTGATTGAATGATCCCATTCATTTCTCCTGCACAAAACAGAAATGAAAAAAAAGGAAATAAATAAAACAAGAAAAAGGAAATACCTCACGCAAATAAGTTCCCAAGTTCAATTAGATTAATGGATTG